TCACCAAATATTCAAGAATCGTTAAATCCTGGTGCAGAAAACAAAATTACTTAGAATGACAAAACTACCCTTGGCATAAAATTATGAGATGTTTGAATAATTTACAAAAGAATGGTAGAGTTGTAAACCTTGAACAGGTGACACAAGTTCTTTCCATTATCACTGAAGGAAACTTGAATGACAGGTACATACGAGAGAGGAAGATAAACGAGCTTTGGCAACATATAAGGCAACACAACTACTGTTTGGACACTGTCATAATTCCAAGAAGCTTTTTGGTATTTGATACTATTTAAGTGTAAGATTATCTTAAAACTATAAATTGGGGCCTTGGTACCTCAAAATTTGTTTAAGGCCATCAAGGGTAGTATCTGCCATGTCATCATCTTCCAAAGCACGGAGGAGTGTTGGGACAATTTCATCAATTGCTTGCATTCCTACACTCTACAGATGCATAATTAACATAAGAAGCAGAGTACAACACAAATGATAAAAGGTAGTTTAAAAGTATGTAAAGTACCTTGTACAGAGTGCAAGTAAGTAAATGAAACAACTTATGTTTTTGTAATTCGTTTATCAGTCATGCAAGTAAATTAAACAAATTACGTTGTAGCATAATAATCCACCAGTATATGTCCAGATCCAAACGGCATATAAGCTTACAATATTTACATCATCTTCTTCTTTAACCTGTCAATGGAAATAGCTTTTAGCAAAGCAAGTATGTAACAACCAATATAAACTTATTTGCATCAATCAACAAGTTCTTTATGTTGACTTGGACACATAAAGTCCAAATAGACTAATAGAGCATTTATGCTCTAATGAGAGATATCAAGAGTTGGATTAGTTGAAGGAATAAATAGTTAATAGAATCAATAAATGTAATTGGAAAATTGTTATTTAATGGATTATGGAATCAATATGTACAAATGGAAAATGAAGACATGAGATTTACTTGTGGTGAAAAAGTATGAATTTTGTTTATACAAATTATAGTCCATCCATTTCTAGGTAACCATGAAGTTTAGCTCGAGCATGCATGTCCATGGCTTCTCTAGATACTTGAACAAACTGTATAGATTTTCCCTTTTTTTTAATTTCAAAAGTTACACGAAATTTTAAAATCACGGAACATAGAATAGTATGAGAAGAAAGGATATACCATATTTAACAAATTCTAAGTCACAAGAGACTAAAAATGACAAAAATATGAAAGTCAATAGTCAATACCACTAAATGCTAAATTTGAAAAAAGCCACTTTTGTGTATATAAGTACTAATTTTGAAATCAAGCCCTAGCCCTTTCTACGATAACATAGTAAATCAAAATTGCATCTGTATGGAATAAGTTTATTCGAATGAAACCAAAAATTTGGGAATAGTTAAAAACTAACCCCTACATTCTATTCTAATATCGAAAATCAAGCTCAAGATAACATATAATCACGAATTAAGACTGCTAATATTTACCAGAATAAATCAAATAAACGATAACAATTAATAAGAAGGAAGAGGAAAACAAAAACTATATGATCAGTGACGCGATTTAGATGAAGATTTAGTGTAATTACAGTGTGTTTCTGTATAGCAACCGATTCAGATGAAAAGTAGAGATTTGAGGAAGAATAGCTACCTGAAAAAAAAACACAACAATGATCCAAAGATCTAAATGATAGAAAATACAGTTTTTCAGTCCAACTGGAACTATATTTCATTTTCATTATTTCCTTCCATCGAACTTGGTTAGTCTATTTCTTTGTCATCTCTACCCACTCATGCCTAAGAGAATTCGATTTGGACTATGGTTTCTCATAGTTCTTTGTGTTGTTAGTCTCCATAGCTTATTGAAGATGGTGAAGAATTTGCCCTAAATTGTCGGTATGAGAGGAAGAAACAGAGACGTATAGTGTTGACGACTCCAGATACAAAAAGGTAGCGAGTGTGGATGGAGAAAAGGTAGATGAACAACATACCTTTGTGTAAGCAGAAGATAAGAGACGGACCTACTTCTGTGTCAATCAGACGTAGGACTTGTAAGGAGAAGGCATTTTCGACTGGTGGAAATAAGGGAGAGAAGAACATAATGCGGGGTTTTTAACTTTTGGGATTTCATTTCCCCCCTTTGTTATTAATAGAGAGCACACGTTTCATAAAAAGTTTATAAAATGACATGCTTATACGACACTTTTTTTTAATAAGTGCCCTTCATCTTTTTGTGACACAAATTTTAGGGCACGTAAAAATGCGTGTCCTAAGTTCTTCAAATTTCTAAAGGTCTGACATTATTTTTAGGCCTCGCACTTTTGCGTATCATTAATCAGTGCATATCGTAAATAGCATGTCATTAAAGGTTTGTTTTTCACTAGTGACTGCCATTTAGGTTGTAACGTACCGAACGAAGACAAAGACAAGCATAAGCTTTTTCATGTTTAATTGTTTAACTTTAAATGATAAATAGATGAACATGAACAATTTAATTACAAACAAAAGTTTTATGTCTGTGTTTGTTCATTAAGTTGATAAACAAACATAAATGAACATAAAATAAAAACAAACGAACAAACTCATACAAACACATGTAAATGTGTGTGTGTACGTAGATATGTTTGTATGTATATACACTTTATCTATAATAAAACAAAGGAGCAAAACCTAAACGTTGATGAACGTGCGTGTATATATAATAATAATAATAATAATAAAACAAAGGAACAAACGTAAATGTTTATGAGCGTAAATGAATGAATGATAATATTTTCCGTGTTCATTCATTTAACTAAATGAACAAGATTTATTATTCATATTCTTTGGTTTTTTAAATAAACAAATTTTCCAACAAATGGTTCATTTATTTTAGTGAGGGACTGCATATATATGTTTACATTTATTATAGGGGCTATTTGTAAAATTCAGTTGATATGCAATTCAAAACAAAGTATAAATTCTTGCCAATTGGGATTTGGGAAACGGTTCACCTCCGAGAATGCAGTTTTTAGTCGGCGTCTACTTACCTTTACCACCATCTCCGGCGTTTTAGCAGCTCCTATACCTCAATGAATGTATTTAAGAAAAGCGAGAAGGGGTAGCTTGAGGAGTATCAACAACAATGATGTTGAAGTTCGAAGCTGATGATTGGTCCTGATAGTTAGGTATTTATTGTTAAATTGTTAGTTTGTTACTGATTGAAGAATTATTTTCGATTGTGAGAAATTGGTTTAGTTCTATGCTGTTTTGATGATGCCATGATGGTGAATTTATAATTAATGCCGTTATGCAAAAGGAATTTATTTCTCATTGGTATACCTTTTTCATTTGCAAAACCTCAGTCACTATACCTGAATTGCTATAAAAGTGTAAATTAACCAATTAAAAAGTTAAACTCAAGGTTGAGGGAGTTTATGAAACGATACAAATCATTGCCTGATAAACTAAACTAAGCATAAATCCTCATTATTTTATTTTATCTTTGGGGAATCAGGAGAAGAGGCAGATTTTATTAACCTACCAACTTGGGTCTTCAAAACACAAGACAATAAGGTTGCCCAAACATGCAACAATTCTCCAACAGCAGCACAAAGATCAGCTGCTACCAGGCTCTATAACAAAAGCTCTTCTTCTCAAAAAGTAGCAATTAATCCCGCTGTCATTAGACCTTTGATAGAGACCTTCAGATCTACTAATGATCTCATGTCATAGCAAAAACTGTTGTACATTTTTTTCATCTCTTTTTAGAAATTCTCCTTGTGGAAATGAAAGCGAGTCGTGTTCGTTAGGCTAAATTCTTTGCAGAGATTTCTTAGTTGTTTTGTAAGTGCCCGGGCCCCACAATAGAAAACACCTGCAGTTCGATGGAAACGGAAATTATAAGATGATGATAAGAACACACAACGTATATCTATTGAGATTTGTTGGCTTATATTTAGTATGGAATTTTTCCTACATCGGTAGAGTATAAATCTTTGGAAAGGTGTGAGTTAAATCTTTGGAGGGTGTGGGTGTAATTTGGGGTTGGTTTGAGAGATTAGTCTATGTGATTGTAATAATTTATCTTATAGTGAATTTTTCTCTCTGAAGACTAGTTTTTCTCTAGTTTTCGATGTTCAAGTTCTTTTTCTTTTCATTGGACGGATTTTTGGGAATTTATGAGACAATTTTCCCAATAGAGCGTGACACTAGAACCAAATATATAACAATTATAATCAATATTAGAAAAGATAGTAGTAATGAGTGTGATGCTTTACCAATTTTAGAACCTTTATGCGTAGTTGCCAAGGTCTGGAATACCTTTCTCCAGTTAGGTCTTGCAAAATGTGTTTTAATCTGCCGTGATTTATTTGTTGTTAGAAAATGAATCCTTGAAAATAAACAACAAAATTAAGTTTTAAGTCATCATATATTTCAAGAAAGTTTATACCTTACTCTGAGAGACAACATCAACTCCATCTTTAGCAAGTTGCAGAGACTGCACCATAGAAATAAGTGCAGATCTCACATCACCTTGTTCATACACACTCGTTAGGTAGTTATGCATTTCAATTATGTTCTGTAATAATTCACATACAAAAACCTCATTAGAAATAACAATATCTTTCAAGTTTACAATACTGAATACATACTTGACCTATTAATTAAATGAAATGGTATGCAATTGGTAACGAAAAACATAAAATACTAAAAGTTAATGTTAACGACCCACATTGTGATCATGTTCTGCAATATCATCCATTACACCTTTGAACCATTCGAAAGAGCCTTGCTCCCTTGTTACCCAATAAAAGTAAGCTCTTTTATTCAGATTAAAATCCCCCAATCTCTGCAGTAAAAACAAGTGCACTCTCAGATTTTTTTTATTATCTAAAATGTTAGTAGCTATTTTTTACATACCGATTGTTTTAGGTGGTGTAGGAGGTCGTTTAAAATACTGATGAATGGAGTGGCTCCAATACCCAAGCCAATAAGTAACAGGACTTGGTAATTCCTATAATGTTGAGCTGGTGCTCCGTAAGGTCCTTTGATGTAGATTTTAGGATACCTACCAAAACAAAGTGAATTAAAATAAATTTATGTAAAAGTAGGTGATTTAGGCTAGTTTTTGTGGAAACTCACTTTACTTGTGATTCCTTGGCATTAGTTTCCATTCTGACAAGATTTCCTTCTACACTGTTCTTCTGTTGAGCCTCACAGCTGGCCTGCATTTCTGTGTTTTAGAATTCAGATTAAGAGAGAACATGCAGTTGATGAAGAGGTAGAAGTGAATGGAGATATGTATAGAACACATTGTTTGACCTTTGCAAATTCTTCTCTAAGTGCTTTTGTCCAGTCTCCCAATGTACGAATATGCACACTTAAGTAGTCATCTCCAGGTGCAGAAGTGATAGTGAACGGATGCCTGTCATAGTAAATCGACACCTATGAATAATTCCTTTTTTTTTTGGTTCAATTTAAGATCCAAGTAACATGAAACTATCTCATATATATGTCTCTATATATGTTATATGAATCTAACTAACACTTACCATTCAAAACGTGATATTCTTGGACATTGTACAAAAAGGTACATTCCACTCTTGTACTTGAATCCTTGAGGTTTAGTCATATATAATGCTAGAACATTTCCCGTGTATATGATAGCCTGCATTTACACACAAAACAAATTAGGGTTTTCTAGCAGAGATAAACAAGAAATATAAGGACTTGAATGAGAGTTATAGAGTCACCTTAATGGTGTCAACTTTCAGTGTATGATCAGTTGTAAGGATTCTTTCACTAGCATAACACACCATTGGAATCAAGAGATACATCCACGTCTGCAATTTTGACAAAATTTTGTCAAACTTTTCATCAAAAGCAAAAATCGTTTGTGTGTGTATGTACAGAAAAGTTGTAAAGTGACATACAGTTTTCCTATACCATCCTACGGTGAGGATTAAGAAGTAGCCATGAGCGATGAACAAGAAGTAAACGATAATCAGCAGATGATGAGTATACCAAAAGGAAGTAAACCCAGCCAAATCACTAAATGGCCTAGGCAAATTATTGACATTTCTCCTAAAAGAACTTGTAGCGAAGAGGAAGGAAATAGCCATTAAAATCATCATTGCAATTCCAGTCCACCCTGGGGTGCTTAACAATAGGTCCATGTAAGTTGGTTGTTGTGTAAACAAAGCTCCAAAAACAGCCATGAACTGGTTATTAGGGCAAGTTGACAGCCTTATAAAATTGCACGACAAGTGGGCCACTGTGTGAACCACACTCCCTATTACAATTGCAAGCGCGATGATTTTATGGAAGTTGATGTTCTCATCAACAGGTAGTAATTTTCCAAGGAAAGTTTCTCGAATGGATGTAAGTGTTCTTCTGCATACAGGAAGGAGAATGAGAGCCATATTGAACTTTAGGGTTTCACCCGCGCCTTTTGCAGTGCAGCTACAGTAACCCAGGACTTGAAAAGATGGCATCAAGTTATACTGGTGGAATTTCCACATGAACAGTGCGATGTTCATTTCCCAAAAGAGAAATAATACCCACACTATTTTCCAATGTTCGAGCCCTGATTCGAACATTTTTGTACAGAATTTTCTCATGGGGTTTCTGTAATCTTCTGGAATCATCGTTTTTGCTAGATCGGTCGTGTCCTCAGCTGTTAACTTGCATGTTTCCTTAGATGTCGTGCTTTTTAACAATGTCTCAAGTTGCCACATCTGTTAGATAAACAGATTAATTAAAACAAATATATGATTAGATGTTTTAAATTAAGTAGGAAGTTGATCAACTAGTTATTAGGATATAATTACCTCTATGTGGCCATGTTGGTCGGGGTCGAGTCTTTCCATGATTAGAGCTGCATATGTTCCGGCTTGTTTCTTGAAAGCCGAAAGTTTGTTGGCTGATGCACTCATTATCAACACCTTCAAAATAAAGAAAACGGAAAACTTTAAACAATGATTTGCAATTTAGATTAAGAAGAATTAACAAGGAAAATTTATCAGAAATGGCTACTTAATATATAATATGTACCTCTTTTACATCCTCCTCCGTTAGCAAGCCATCCCCGTTCTTGTCACACCTGAATAAAACTTTAATTATTAGCCACTAGGTTTTAGTTTGACATTTTTCTGCAAAAAGATTATTCTTCAATTAATATTAATCTTAAAGCTGCTCGTCATGTGAGAGGTAAATCAGATAAACAAAAACCCGCTCGGGCTCGAGTCCACAAGGAACCAAATCCACATTGGAATTAGAACTCATACACTGACAGATGTTATGACTTAAACTCTTTACGTTTAATGCAAGTATACTAGCCCGAAGCCAACTGTATTGCCACTATGAAAAAAAACTTGAATGATATCGAAATGTGATCTTACATGTCAAAGAAAATATGAAATCGAGTATCAAGATCCTCTTTTGTCAAATCTTCCCAGAATATTTTCACTTGTCCTAACGTGATCCCTTCGGACACGTCTATCCCTTTACGTCTCGCAAGGGCATCAAACAATTCCCCCGAGAACTCACTTCCATCTCCCATTCCTTAAAAAAAAATGCATAAAAAGTTAATGGAAATAAGTCCATAAAGAAACTATTTAAGATCCAAAAAAAAAAAAAAAAAAAACTTGAATCAATCTAACCGATACAAATCCCAAATTTCTCTCTTTGTAGCTTCCCATTCTTTGAAAACCGATGAAACCGTTTCTCAACACCCATCCATGCATCCCCTTCTTTCCCAGTTATGACCCTATCAAGAAATCGCAAGCCACTAAGACCTCTAGCTGCACTTGATACTTGCCTTTCCAACATTGGTCCATCACGCCTCCTTATACTATTAGCTCTCTTGCTTGCGTTTCTGCTTAGCATGCCTGGGACCGATAACCTCGTGTCCTCTATTTGAAGCATTGATTTCCGAGTCGAAAGTTCTCTTGAAAGACCTCCACTTCGAATCGAAGACATTCCTCTTTGATCACTCATTATGGATCGTTGTTCAGATGGATCAAGATCCATTTTTTTACTGTTGTATTGTGTCTTTCAGAATGTAAAGAAAGTTATACTTGCGTTCTTTATGTTTATGGAGTTCTTTTTTGGGGGGAAACGAATGAGATATAGTTTGAGGAAGTGAATGGGATACAATCTCATTGAGTAATGAGTGGAAAGACTTATAATTTAGTTTTGGAGAAAAACATGCATCTACTCCTATTCTTTAGGATTTCCATAAGACTTGAAAAAAAATCGACAAAAGTTCCATAAGCCAAGTGCTAAATAGATGGAATTAATTAAACAAGACAAGACTCCTTCTTGTCTTTACTTTCCGCAAAATCATGGTTTTCATACATTTCCCACGACGATGGAGGGCTGGTTTTCATTGTTATTGTAATATCTAGAAGAGTTTATTAATCTTTCATTTTTTTAATGTTCCGGAAAATGTATAAGAACAATGGATCCTTTTAATAGCATCAATACAATGGCCATTCCGTCACTTATGTTCAAACAATCTTTAATCAATTTATAGAACCTATATGTAATTAACCATCAGTGACTTTTAGAATCGTCAAATAATCACTATAGGGAGCCCTTACCGACCGATTATATCTGTTAGGAAAAAATGCCTTGCGCACTACTAGAAAAAATGAAAATACCTACGAAAATTGAAAATTTCTGTCGGAAATTACCTACGCAATTCCGACGGAAAACGTTGCCCTAAATTACTCACGATATTGTGACAGAACAGCTACAGAATACTGACGGATGTCACATCCGTCGGAAATCCGTTGGTAAATACCGACGGAATAGCTATGACACTGACGAAAAGACTAATTTGTATACTTTCCGTTACAAATCCGTCGCAAATCCGTCATTTTTATAATATTTTGCTGCTATTATTATTATTATTATTATTATTATTATTATTATTATTATTATATATATATATATATATATAATATATATATATATATTATATATATATATATATATAAATTAATGTTTTATTCTGAAAAATTTTAATAGTAAAGTGACACATTTTTGGTCACTTTTGGTCCTCCATTATTTTCAACATTGACCAATCACCTTTATGTTTTTTTCACAAACAACCCTTTAACTTTGGTTTGAATTTTTCATAAACTTCGCCTTTTATTACATATTATTAGTATTTCTATTTACAACATTGACCTTTCACCTTTATACTTTTGTTCACAAACAAACCTTTCACTTTGGTTTGAAAAATGGTCCCTCAACTATATTTTAGTCATTTTAACGTTGCTTCCTTTTTGTCTTTTTTGGTCCATGTGGTTTACCAGATTTAACCCATTGAGGACAACGATGGAAACCGAAATTACTCTTTTACTCCTAATCCGATTTTTTTTATTAATTTATATTTCTCTTTTTTCGTTTTAAATTAATGTTTTGTTTATTAGAAAATATCCATCCAATACCATAAAGTCACCCACCATCTGCCATCACCACCACCACCACCGCCCGCCAAAATTACATAAATGGTCCATATGGTTTACGCGTTGTCACAAATTCAATCTCTACTACCTGAAAAGAAAAAATTACCCTCACATTAACGAACAAAAAGCAACGGTCTATATTCTCCGGATTGGTTTTCCGTCCGCTGCCATACATGGCAATAAAGTTCAATTTGTGACATCATTTCTTTATTTTCCTCATTTATTGTAAGACATAATTATTTATATTTCTTTACTTATGTAATTAGATGACATTGTTTATCTTCCTTTAGTAGATTATCTCAATTCAATTCAACATGCTACTTTATTTTACAAAACAATACCTTCCGACCCCGGCGACGCCGGTGAATCCTTTCTAGTTATTATTATTATTATTATTATTATTATTATTATTATTATTATGTATGAATGTATACATATGTATGTATATGTGTGTATATGAATGTATGTGTATGTGTGAAGGTCCAGAGAGTCCCAAATGCTCTGCTTTATGCCTTTCCTTTTGAGTTGTGGACTTAGGTTACCATTTTAGAGGTCATTTCACCAAAAGAAACCTTGTAGGCGTTGCATGGGTGCCAAGATGTGAACTTTACGTGATTATCATGTTTGGGAAGGTCAGATCTATAGATTAGAGAAGCAGATATGACCTCAGAAGGCCATTTGAGTTCGAGCATGGAATAAACTCACCGAGTCCATGAGCAGACTCGATGAGTCGGACCGGGTTGTCCCGTGACTCACACAGTTGATGACTCGCTGAGTTGGGAGAGTGACTCAGTGAGTCAGAGGGGGGGTTTACTGGACTTGAGTTCACGTCTGAACTCGCCAAGTCAGTTCCTGACTTGACGAGTTGGGTCAAAGGGGGTGGCCATCGACCAACGTTGACCAGAGTTGACTTGTGTTGACTTAAGGGCATTAGTCAAATTAAGTCAGGAAGGTATTAATTAGAGATGTATTTATTCTATAGGAGGAAGCTAGGTCGGAGGATTGAGCGCGAGTGATTATCCGACATCTTCGAGGTGAGTCTTCTCGCTATGCCTTACCTGATGGGGTGATTATGTGTGACCGGAAGGTCTTATATGTATGATGAAAATGTGATGTATGTTGTATATGTAATATGTTATGATATAAGTATGATGATATGGACCGGAAGGTCAACAGAGCATGGACCGGAAGGTCAACAGAGTTATGGGATGGAAATCCCCTAAGACACTTAAATCGGAAGATCCCATAGAGCTATGGCCTGGAAAGACGTATGTGCTGTACGTGGTATTTTGGGGAACTCACTAAGCATTATTGTTTACCGTTTGCGTGTTATGTGTTTCAGGTACCAGTGATGATCGCGGGAAGGTGCCAGCATGATCAGTACACACTTATGGTGGAAATGTTTTGAGATTCTGGGGATTTTGATTTGCACTTATGTTATGTAAAAACAATTGATACACGTTTTTGAGATTTGTGATTGGAGTATTTTTATTAAATTAAAATGAAAATTTGTTTTGAAATTTCACTGTGTTACAAACGTAGTCTTTAAAAAAATTGACTTTATCATGCAAAGAGGTTTGTTGTCCATTTGTCTTCTCACTCATTGTATTGTGATCACTAATTAGAATGTGAAAGTATGCGAGTTTATATATAAAAAAAAAAATACAAACCAAGGTAATTTTGTGTTTTAGGATTTGGAATAGGCATGTTCCAATTCAATTTTCTTGGATTATCCTAAATTAAATTTCGTAAAATCCCAAACAATTGGGTCGAAATCATAGATTTTGAAAAGAATATTGTATACACAATCATTGAATCATCGAAGTATTTTCATTAATATTCGAAACCCAAAACATAACAAAAATACATACACAAGCTCATTTCAAATTACCACAAATATAAAGTTATTAAAATCCATTGGTAAATTATCGACATATCAACGAAGGCTTTGAAGACCATTGGAAAACCATCCTCGGAAAACTGTAAAAGAATAGGGCTTTTCTATCCTTAGAGTAAAATTTTGGAAGTATAATACCCCTATTTTCTAGTAGTATCCCATGGTGTAACTTACAAATTGAAAGTTATATCCATTGGCAATTGAAAGTTATAAAGGTTTTCATTGACTTGCTTAAACACTGTAAGTTCAAATAGCCAAAAATAGATATTATGCGATTAACCAAAAAACATAATAATATCTAACTTAGAGTCGATATGATTCAACTCAAGTCAAATTTATGGTTCATAAAATTAAAGAAATATGTGTGTTTGTTTCTAATTTTGGAAAAGCAACTTAACAACCTCTAAGATTTTCCCATGTTTAGTCCATTCATTTCCTCCCGCTCATTTCCCCATACATTCCCCATTACACATTTCATCTTCATCTTTCTTTCCTTCTTTTGCATTTCCAAAATCAAAACAAAATTTTTTTTTTTTTTTTTTTTTGATGTTCGAAAAGTTAACCTGAAACACAATGAAGGGGGTGGATCTTGAGAGCGTTGAGATCGACCCGATGGATCAAAAATCATTTGCAGCAAATGCAAAAGACCGAGCATCAAAACGTGTCACAGATAATGGAAGCAAGCAAGGCGGGTTGCTACCAATATTGAGCCGCAACTCAAGTAAGGCAAAATCTACCCGAAAGAAGGCTCTCCCTGGTGGCGGGGCTCCTAAGATGGGCCGAACAACCTCAAGTGCAGCCAAAGGGCTTAACAGCTTGCGGTTTCTTGATAGAACGGTAACTGGAAAAGAAGGGGATGCATGGAGAGCAATTGATCGACGTTTCAATCAGTTTTCCGTGGATGGAAAGCTGCCTAGAGATAAATTCGGAATTTGTGTTGGTTAGAAAGATTTGAAAATATTGTGTCCAAGATTAATGCAATATAACTTCTTTGTTCAACATTTCCTTTATGATTGTAGGAATGGGAGATAGCATTGAGTTTGCGGGAGAATTGTATGATGCCATGGCTAGGCGTAGGAACATTGACGCCGAAGGTGGGCTCACTAAAGATCAAGTCAGGAGTTTTTGGGAAGAGATGACAAAGAAAGACCTTGACGCTCGGCTTAGCATCTTCTTTGACATGTAAGTTAGTTTATGTGTTTGACGTTTGCTTTTGAAAAAAATCAAACTAGAATCACAATGAAAATCGATTCTTATAATCTGAGCTTCTAAACGAGTTAATGTCAGGTGTGACAAGAACGGAGATGGGATATTATCAGAAGATGAGGTAAAAGAGGTGAGACATTAATTAGAAGCCAATTTTTTTTTCTTGTTAATTAATTCGCTTCTCCAAGCTCAAGTTCATCTCCTGTTTTAGGTACTTATAATGAGTGCTGCGGCAAACAAGCTTTCGAATTTCAAGAACCAAGCCGGGACCTATGCAGCTCTAATCATGGACGAGTTGGATCCCGACCACCGTGGCTACATAGAGGTTACAAACATATACTATTTTGGTGCATATATGTTTCTTGTTTTTAACATGTGCTTTCTATTTTTCTGAAGTGTTTTATTTCTGGAACAGATGTGGCAACTTGAAATCCTGCTTACGGGTATGGTGTCAAATGAAACAAACCCCCAATTAACGAACATCAAGAAGAAGAATGAAGAAACCACAATTCTAGTAAAAACGATGATCCCATCAAAGTATCGCAATCCAATTAGCAGACGCATGAACGAATGGACAGAAGCTGTAATAGATAACCGGAAAAGAATATTCGTAGTAATTTTACTCCTCTTTCTTAACATCGCGCTTTTTGCATGGAAATTCCATCAGTATAGCCTATTGCCAACGTTCCAAGTCATGGGTTATTGTGTATGTACAGCCAAGGCTGCGGGTGAAACCCTAAAGCTTAACATGGCTCTAATTCTCGTTCCAGTTTGCAGAAGAACACTCACTGCGTTACGTGAAACGTTTCTTGGCAAAATTTTCCCTTTTGACGATAACATTAACTTCCACAAAGTCATTGCGGTTTTCATTGTAATTGGCACTATAGCTCATACTGTTGCTCACTTGGGTTGCAATTTTATAAGGATTACCACTTGCCCTGCGGACACTTTCCAGCGTGTTTATGGTAATTTGCTGCCAGCGCAGCCAACATACGTGGACTTACTACTAACAGTCCCAGGATCTACGGGGATTCTAATGGATGTTATGATGTTCTTTTGCTTTCTCCTCGCCACACACGCTTTCAGGAGAAATGTGATCCATTTGCCATGGCCGTTTAACCACTTAGCTGGTTTTACTTCCTTTTGGTATGCTCATCATCTTCTGGTTATCGTATACATCTTGTTGATCCTTCATGGATACTTCCTGGTCTTTGCGACATTTTGGTATAATAAAACAGTAAGTCAATGGAACGATTTACCCTCTTTTCTTTATTGTAAGTATAATAGTCTCTTCCAGATTTGAATAACTGCAAAGTTACCTTGCAGACATGGATGTATCTTGTGGTCCCGATGCTAATGTATTCAACTGAGAGAGTCTTTACGGCCGGTGATCATCAACATCGAGTCAATATCGTTAAGGTGAACAATGATGCTACTTTCATTTATACCGTACTCTATATCTATTAAAAGCTTCTAGAATGTTCATCGTGCCCCAAAGAAGTCTAGGACATTACAGTATCTTTCAATGTCTTTTAGAACCATGATTTTCTAGAATATTCTAGAGTCTACCGGTATATTCATATTCTGGAATCTTCCATAGTTTTCCATAGTAGTCTAGAATCTTCCAGAGGATTCTAGAACAATCTAACCTCTAACAGATACTAAGATTGGTTCTATTGAATTAGTGATGATATTTTAACACACAATGTGCCTTCTGAGGTTGTTGTATTGATTACTTTAGGCTATCATATACACCGGAAACGTGCTAGCGCTCTACATGAGTAGACCCCATGGATTCAAGTACAAGAGCGGGATGTATCTCTTTGTTAAATGTCCGGATATATCAGGCGTTGAATGGTATATATACATACACCACTTTGATCTTCAAAAGTTATATATATATATATAATTGATTGATTTGTTATCACAGGCATCCATTCTCCATTACTTCTGCACCTGGAGACGACTACTTAAGTGTACATATCCGGACCTTAGGAGATTGGACAACGGCCCTTAAAGAAGAATTCGCGAAGGTAAAGGAACATATTTTAGGCTAAATGTACCAAATTCTGAAGCTTCATTATACTTCTTTCATCTACAACCTTTGTTTTTTTTCTGTTAATCTGAATTCTAAAACACAGAAATGCAGGCCTGCGAGCCTCCACCACAAAAACCTCAAATTGCTGCTTCTTCTTCAAGAGCTATAAAAGGAAACCTTGTTCGATTGGAAACTAAAGCGAATGTAAATATTCCTATAGAGGAAGCACAATCAGTGTGAGCATCAAAACCAGCTCAAATTTGCTCAATTTGTTTAAACGTTTTTGTTTCGTTTAATGATCTTCACAGTTTATTCTTCTAGGTACCCTAAAATTATCATCAAAGGACCATATGGAGCGCCGGCTCAGGATTATAGAAAATACGACATCCTATTACTAATTGGCTTGGGTATAGGAGCAACTCCATTCATAAGCATTTTGAAAGATCTCCTAAACCACCAAAGAGAAGCAGTAGTAAGTAGTAAAATATCATGTTAGCATAAACATGGGTATATACTTATATGCTAAATAGTAATTTTGTTATAGGGTTTTGAGGAGAAGGGCCCAGATCGAGCATACTTCTATTGGGTGACAAGGGAGCAAGGCTCGTTCGAATGGTTCAAAGGAGTTATGGATGATATTGCAGAGTACGATAAAAATGTAGGTTCTAAGAAAAATGAATTATCTCTTGTTCTTTTAAGAGCATCCATAACGCAGAGTTAAATGTAATGGTTGAATGAGGTACAAGCCTAGCTAGTATTTAATGGACTAAACTCAACCATAAAGCTATGTCATGTTGGCATTCAATGGATATGAACTTGAATGACAATTGAATTGTTAAATGGAAAAACGAAACTTTTTTAACATAAAATGATTGATAAATAAATGATTTTTTTTTAAATTGTTCTATTGAACATTTTTAGAGTTGAAAATACTGTAGAAAAAAATTATAAAAGTTATATAAAAAGTAGAATGATGATGTGATAATCCATCAAACTCTATAGAGTTCAATATACACTATCCTAACATGAATAAAAGTAAAAAAAATTGTTTTAAATGGGAGATTTTAATGTTAATTACAGCATCTGATCGAAATGCATACCTACTTAACCTGTGTTCATGAAGAAGGAGATGCACGATCGGCGCTTATTGCCATGGTGCAGTCTTTGCAACATGCCAAAAATGGAGTTGATGTCGTCTCTCAAAGTCGCGTATGTTTTCTTTGAAATCATGATCTTGTATCCTTTTTTTTTCCAACTAGAATTTTGATTCTAACGAATAGAGCATAACAGATAAGAACACATTTTTCAAGACCTAACTGGAAGAGAGTATTCAACACTTTGGCAAGCAACCATGATTCTGCTAGAGTTGGTAAACACCTTGTTTCAGTATGTGATATAGTGTTTCTTCATGTTTGTTGCCAACCTTTTGACCATTGGTGATCCACAGGTGTATTCTATTGTGGGGCCCCAACCCTTGTAAGACCATTGGAAAGTCTTGCCAAAGAACTTAGCATAGAAACCTCAACTCGCTTTGATTTCCACAAGGAGAACTTCTAAAAGGCGATTGTTCTTACATTTTTGGTTCCTAGAAATTAACATCTACATGCAGAATACATCTTTAGGGTTGTGAATCTCGATTGAAGTTCCAATATTGCTCTTGGTATCGGATAGCATGTGTTTTATGTTAGAAAAGGATGGTTCCAGAAGTTTTGATGTAAATGTGTATGTATAGTGGCTATCATCACAATCTTCCATCAGTCGTTTCCTCATTCATGAGTTACTCATTTCTTTGTACCTGGGCAAGTCCTGAAAGGCCATAATCACCAATATGATATCACTTTAAATGGTGTTTATAGTTATAAATTAGAGATATTGAAGATAGGTGAAGAGAAAGAAGGTCAATATCAAGTACTAGAAGCATCACAATTACAAAATAGCATAAAGATATACTTTGTAATTACCTTATAGTAGAAGGTTAAATTGTATGTTGACAGTTGTACAGCTTGTTAAACAGATTACCTTATTTCATTTTCGATCCTTATGTATAAATACCATAGAATTTTGAAGGATCAAATTCATATATTCAATCAATAAGTTTTTCTTGCAAATATGGCATTGCAAACCCTAGTTCTTCTTAGAACGGTTTAGCAAACCCAAATTCTTCTTATACACATGGTCGTGCCAATGAGAGAAAAAAAAAGCCTCATATATCATGTAGAGGAGTTGAGAGGAAAAACGAAATAAAATGAAGCCAAAACAAAATCATAGGAGAAGACAATGAGACACGCAATTCTTCTGCAATAATCATCGTATTCTCTCACCACCATCGATTGAAGAGCGATATGAATCGATTTTTATTTTTTCAATGGTGACAAATAAATCGATTCTGATTTTTTCCCACAACCTTCTGATTTCAATCTTTCTCAATACATACACAAGAATCATACACCATATTTCAACAAACAACACCAGAACCCCAGAAATATTGGAGATCCAAACCTAAATTTAAACCTACTGTATTGTATGTATAAAGAATAGGATATTGTGTAGTAATCATATCATATATTATATATATTTATATACAGTTTCCTCAAAGAGAGATGATCATCCTTTTTCCCGTGGATCAATTAACAGCAGTGAGGGGGTATCGTGAGTCTCTCATGGAATGAGCACCAGCTTCAAGATGCTTTGCATCGCCCCCATTTAATATCAGCCTTGGAGACGATGATTTTGAATCCCAAAAATATTTCAATAACTCATCAAATGGTGGGGTCCGCAGCTCTTCAATGGAAGTGGTGGTTGGTAGATTGAATTCCCTCTTTCTTGGAGTCGAGCATGACTCTTCATCAACCTACACCAAAAGACTCGAGTAATAAGAAAAACTCAAAGTATACTCTTTATCTCCTCTTGCATTTAACCCTAATTAATTTTATTGAGTAAATTACATTTTTGGTCCCTGAGTATAACTGGTTTTTTCAATTTTGGTTCCAAAAAGTTTTCGTTTGCAATTTTGGTCCTTACTTGATTTTACCAAGTAAAAATGACTACTTTTGGGGCCAAATGTGCAAAAACTGGCAATGTATAGGGACCAAAATAGTCATTTTACTTGTGACCGGGACCAAAAACGTTACAAGAACCTCAAATAAGAACCAAAATCACAATAGAAAACTTTTTGGGACCAAAATTGCAAAAACAGCTATACTAATAGACCAAAAATGTAATCTTCTCAAATATAATCATTGTACTTGGAACAGAGAACAAAAATGTTACAAAAACCTTAAATAAGGACCAAAATAGCAAACCAAATTCTTTAGGGACCAAAACCAAAAAAGAGCAAAATCAGGGACTAAAACTGTAACTACTCTACGACATGTTAGGTGGATGAGAAAAGTTACCGTGTAATCATTCAGAAGGGTTTTTCCTGCATTATCTGTGATCTCCACAATCTTATCGTAGTGTCCACCTTTCAATTCCCTCAATTCTCCACAACAAGGAACAATCATGGAATCAAGATTCCGACATGCATCATGATCAAGCTCTAAAGAATCTGAAACTCATTGTATATCAAAAATTAAAATACTGAATTAATTTTGTTTTTTTGAGAACTCAAAATGTTTTTAAAAGTAAATAAATGCTCACGATTAATTGAAGACAGGAGGTCATTGCTTGCGACATTTGTATCATTAAGCGCCGATGATGCTGCAACCGAATATTGGGAGCGCAAACTTTGATTCGCTTTTAATCCTTCCCTGTAAGAAGGGTAAAATAGGTATTGTAAAAAAATATACATACAAAATTTATTCAAAGTGGCAATTAGCAAAGTTTCTTGATTTATGGACTTACCTAACTATTTCATCCACAGAAGCCACATTGTTGTTCTCCAAACTGAGCAAAGATTCTTGAGCTTTACTCCATTGTTGTGACCCCATTTTTACCTTTTGCAAACTGTAATATCAATAATGAATAAGAAGTTGTAAAGGATAATAATAATTATTATTACTATTATGGGGAAAATGGGACCCACCAATTTTGAAGAACATCATTTAGGTTTTTCTTTCCGATTTCAACCGAAGTAGTGTCTTCAAGGTAGTGGGTTTCTGTCTTTTTAGTGAAATTTGTACATTGGATTCTGACACAAGAGTTTGATTCTTTCATGGTTGACATTTCTTGTTGGAATGTTTTGGTTCTAGTAACTGCACTTTCTCGTAGACCATTTACTGATGTTGTAACCTACAAATACAATTACAAACAATATGGTCAAAATAATGCCAAAAATAAATCAACCTCAAAAATCTTTACATGTTGAAGCTAAACATTGTCTAAAATGCCCATTACCAGTTCTTTCTTCCTAGCATTTGAAACTGCAAGAAGTTCTGCAACTTTTTCAAGTAGTTGTCTTTCTTCATTAGCAGCACACTCCTACATGTATAAAATAAATAAATAAAAGACTAAAAAACTACATATCCAAAAATAATTGTTTAAACAAAAATCAACATTACCTCAAACTTCCTTTCAAGTTCAGATAACTTTTGGTCATTTACAGTTTGGCCCTCTTCAATAATTTCTGTCAATTTCGTTGCATGCATGTCCAGGGTAACAAAAAAGTTTGCAGTAATGCCAGAAATAGCCCTCGAGGTTTCAACAGCTCTACAATGTGCCTCTTGTTGTTGTTGTGCGTATGTGGCTAGTTTATTTTCTTGGCTATGGAGAATGTTTTGAAGATCATTAAGTAAATCCTCAGCTTCTGATGCAATACCCTTAAAAAGCTGTGTTGAAGGACATAAATGTAATTAAACATAACTTCATACCAGTAACACAATCTTTCAAAGAATTCTTGAATCAAAATTAAATCATACGTTTCCAAGAGCAGAAGAATTTTGGGAGACTTGAGAATTAAGATGTTCGAGTGTTGACTGTGAATTTCCGTTGACTTCATTTGCTAGATTATCAAGGGAATTAATACCACAACCATATAATGATTTCAACTTGTGTAAACCAACTCTGAGTTCTTCAGTAGCCTGTTATACATTAAAAAAAAAAAAAAAACAGTTTTTATATTCTGTTTTTAATGTGTTTTTGGTTATATAAAGATTTTATATTGCTAAATTTAAGTCATACTTGACCCTTGGTTGATACAAATGATTGCATATCTTCTTCCATGCCTTTAAGCTGTTGTTCTTGTTGTGTGACAGAAGCTGCTACACTTTTATGCAAGATGTCAAGTTGTTGAGTCAACTCAGATTGGAATTGTTGGACAAGAATTCTGTTTCCATCTTCTATTTTGTCCTTTCTCTCTGGAATAACAATTTTTATTTTAAAACATATCATCTTTTGTAATTATATTTGATTTTTTTTTTGTGGAAAGTACCAATCTTGGTGAACAGATTTGACACGTCTGATGAAGCGTTCTCAAGCTCTGATCGAAGGTCAAATGCACGCTCAACAAGAGCTTTTTCTGTTAAATTGAAAATATAAAAGTATAAAAGTTTGAAATTAGTTTGTTAATTAAAAAAATTTAGATATGATTCTGTTAAGATATAGAGCAATGGCTTACCAGACTTTAGAAGGTTGAAGATAAGAAATTCTTTTTCTTTGATTGTTATATTTGCTTGTCTATGCCTTTCTTCAAGATCCAACAATGAATGTTCAGTTTCTTGGAGCTTTATCTAAAAATCCAATAAGTAAATGATTATTTCATGCTAGAAAAATGAAAATTATTAGATAAGTATTATCGAGAGAAGAACTTGAATAACAACATACTTCTGTCCTCTCAAGTTTTCCAGTTAAATTTGCATTCACTAGCTGCTGAGAGTTATAAAGCTCCTGAAGCTCCATAAATTGCTGTTTACAGTTGTAGATTATAAAATTTATCATCATTAGTGTCCTTTTTTTAAGAAAAAATGGAGAATTATAAGTCTCAGACTCTACCTTGCCCCTTGACTCAGCATCGAGTTCCATGCGTTCTATTTTTTCCACCATTGCCTGAAGATCACAAGAACTTCAGTCTTGATTGCTATTTATAAGGTGTAAACTGTAATTTCAAATTGATGTGGTGTAAATTGTAATTTCATGAGGATGTGTACCTTCTTCTCTTCTTCTTCCTGTAGATATCTATCTTTCGGTATGTAGATTCCATTCTTCTCTCTTGTAGCATAGACCTCTGGTCAACAAAAAGTCAAAGCATGTAAAAAAACATAAAATATGGATTCAACCAATGAGGCAATGAGAGATTTAGGGTCGAGTTAAACCTTGCTTGAGTCGTTCAATCTCAGAGTACAGATCCTTCATCATTGCAGATTTCATCATCTTCTGATTAATCTGAAACAAGAACAAAGATAAGATATCAAATTTTCCTGAAAGAGGACAACCTTTTCTATCAACTTTTTTTTAAAAAAATTCAAAATTACTGACCTCTGGTTTGTTCTTGATGTTTTTTGCTCGATGAGCATAGTCTAAAGTGCTGAGTGTCTCTTCCAAAGAATGGATAGAGGGGGAGATAGTTGCAATTATGCATGTCTTTGTTTTCCCTCCTAAGGAATCTCTCAACAACCTTGTTAACTTACTATCCCTATCAAATAAAAAAATAAAAAAGACATTAATATAGTTAATTTACATTTCTTTAATTCAAATAATGCCAACAGAATAGTAATAATAATAATAATACCTATAAGGTATATGTCCTGAATGCTCAACTAATGTATTTATGACTCTGCCAAGTGTAAGCAAACTCTTGTTTATCTCACCAGCTTCCCTTGCTCTTCCCTGCAAAAAAGACAGGGATACCCTTTAGGACACATTCTAAATTTCCACCATGTAAATGGGCATATATGTAATTTGAATTTTGTTTACCTCTCTAGCACCAGACCTAGAAATATTCTCAGAACCAGCAAGATCAACAAGATTCAGCTTTCCACATCTAATAATCTCTTCTCCTTCTGGAGTTCTTTCCTTAATGTGAATTGTGATAGAAAATATGGAGTGAGAACGACTACTTTGTTTATTCAAAAGGGTCTCTGCTGTACGTCTTTTAGCAGATCCTTTCTCTAAGATTTTATAAATTTCATCTGCTGTTGAAACTATCTCCTCTTCCAAACCTCTTACAAGCACACCTCCTTTTCCATCCTCCATGAGTGCTATTGGTTTCTTAGATTTATCTTCAGGAAACTTTGAAGTTTCTTCAATAGCCAAAAGATCCGTTATCTCCTCATTGTAAAGTTCCAAGAATGTAACTTTCATACTGTATTCTGCATTTTGAGCTTCTAATATATCAAATATTTGTCGTACAGCTCTTGGAATGACTCCTGCATCACTTGGGAATTCCCCATTCTAAAGCAGAATCCAAGGGATTTTGGTTTAGTAAAAGTTTTTTAAAAAATGTGGTTGATTGAAAAATGCCATTATGGAACAAAAAGTTATACCTTCTTCCTCCCTCCTCCTTCCATTGTGTATGTTTTTCCAGTTCCTGTTTGGCCATAAGCAAATATAGTGCAATTGTATCCTTCAAGAACTTCAAAAACTATGGGAGAGACAGCTGCATGATACAAGTCCCTTTGTTGAGAGTTTGGACCAAATACCTATCCACATTATAAATATATATTGGGAACACCATCAGAGACATTATTTTCATAAAAATACAATAGAAAGAATAAGAATAAATGATATTTGACAAGAGAACTACCTTGTCAAACACAAATGATCTATCAATCTGTTTGTTAGCTATATGTTGAACTGCACAAACTTCTTTCTTGTTCTCAGTACATGTAATCACTACTGGTGTGTGTGCTTTTGTCTCATCATCACTCAATGGTCTATATGTTTAGAAACACAACAATCAAGAAATTCTTGTAAAAACAATCCAAATTCAGTTACTTATATATATTGTTTAATAAAAAATTTACAGACCTGCATCGCACAATGACTTGAACATTAACACCTTTTTCTCTATCATGTTTACCATTCATTTGTACTTCTGGTCTGATATCTCTTGCTGCCTTGTCACTGGACCTTGGGGTGTGTGAGGGTGAGCTTGGGACCATATTTCCTCCTCTTTTCTCCATAGTTAAGATATGGTTGCTCAAATCACAAGTTTTGAAACTCAATGATGCAATCGATTCTAATCAGAAAAATCCAATGTGTGCGTAAAATCAGTTTTTGACAGAAGCATTTCATGGAACATAACCTATCCTAAAAACAAATTCAATAACAGCAATGTTCTCATACAGATTCTCGTAATTAAGAAAGACCAATGACCTATGGGTTAATTAGTTCTAAGTCAAATTTTAATAAGATTGTTATGGTTCTTTAATTAAATGTAGTTGAAGAAACAAGAGTAACATAGCTCTCGCTCTGTAATCTGTATAAGACCCGTTTATTTTGACATTCCACCATTAAAAAGAAAAGAAAACAAGGACGCAATACAAGAATTATAAGAAGATTAACCTAAAACTTGGATTGCAAGTGTCGGTTCGTTACCATGGACGCGGATACATTGATAATAACCTGGTAAAGGACTCAAGTAATTAAGGTTATAATAAGCCTAAAAATCAATGAGAAGATACCTCTAGTCCCTGGTAGTTAAGGTCTTTCAAAGTATAACGAGTTTTTCCACTGAACTCACCGAGTCAACTCAACCCAAATCTGGAAATGTTTCTCGCCTTGAAAACACCTTAATAGACACAAGATATATAGCATTTAACCGCATTATCACAAAGAAATTCGCTGATTTGGTCCGATTGAACCGCATTGACTTAAACCAGTTCTCGATCGAGACAATTCATTAAAACATTAAATTCAACTGAAAATCTTATGGAAAGCGTGAAACCTGGAATCGCCGGCCGTTGACCCTTCCAAATGTTGCGAACTGATAGATTCAATGTCGAGAAACGATTTGTTAAATGGTGAAAGCAAAGCACACACCCAATGAGAGAGAGAGAGAGAGAGAGAGAGAGAGAGAGAGAGAGAGGTGAGGAAGGAAAGGAACTTCAAAACATTATGGCCGTTAATGGAGTGTTTGAGCTTGGAATGACACTTAGCATTAGTCATTAGTAGTTTAATATTCATTTTTATTAATAAAATATCATAGATATTTATTACATTATAAAATACATTTTTAGTTAAATATATTTCTTGTCACATATTACGAAATTGACAGGGTAAATTATAGTGTTTCATTTTAGGAAATTTTGTTTTAAAATAAATGTTTAGAAATTAATTTACAATTTAAGTTTCCAAAATTTAATTTCTGATTAAGCTATTTATACTATTTTAGTTATATACTTATAACATAGGTCATTAAATACTAAACTTAAAGATGCTTTTTTCTAAAATAAATATGATTTATTGAATGAAATAATATGAACCAGTTTTAGCATTTCTCTATATTTAATTTATTATCAAGAAAGTCCCTGGTAGATTAGATTGTATATTATGAAGACTATTAGATTTTAGAGGGCAAAAATTTTAAAATATTTATAAAATAAACATTTGAGTTTTGAGAAATTTAAAATTAATAAATAATGAACAAAAAATATACTACAACTTGGGTTGGTGGCGGCAGGTGTACAAGGGGTGGCCCATCAGAAAATGAATGATGCAACGCCGGCACATGATTTTTGCATTTTTAGTCCCCTTCAATAAAACAAAAAGTAATCCAAATTGTTAACATAAATAAAAAGGATTTTATTTTTATGGTGAGAGATAATATAATATAATTTCATGAAAGTGATATACAAGGACATTAAACAGAAAGTGAAGATCCGACTACAAAATCCCATGTCTAAGTAAATAGATAACGTGTGGTTATTTGTTCCATTTTGACATATATTTCTACCTAGGTGTCAAACCGTATATACATGATGAATTGATTAAATAAAAGGTTAAATGTCAACGTGTAAATATTCGTATATCCTATAAATTTTTAAAAGCTTTGGCTACAGTGCACTTTCTTTTCTTTTATTTTTTGTCACGGAACTTCTTCTTTTCATTCTAACGCAACTATCACGATTTCCTTTTCTTATTCTTCTTTTCTGTTCTTATTCGTTTTCATTGCCACCTTGTTGCCATCCTTATCCAATACTATTTCTTTCGTTTTTCTTTATTTCCTCTTTTTTTCTTTTTTACTCTTCCTCTTCAGGTGTTGCGTTCCTATTCTCCGTCTTTGTCTCTGTTTCTTTTCTAGGTATGTTGTCTACTTCTTTTTACTTTACCATAGTTAGAACCTGATGTCGGGAATGTTCCATTGCAAACGTCGTTTCTCTTCTCATTTGGCTTCAATTATTTCTCTTGGAAACCGACTATTGACTTCTTAAGATGATATTGGTGATTGTAGCTTTATTTGTAAATCATGTGATGCTTTTTTTTGGTTTGATGAAAGGGTTTTGTATCTATTGCACCCAGATTCCCCCGCATATACGTGTTGTTGTAGGTCTGGGTCTGTTGTATTGCCTTATACATGCCCTTTTCCTTCTCTTTTTGTGCAGTGTAATGACTTTCGTTGCCTGTCTAGAAATCAGCGAATCGTTAACTACCGTCTCCTTTGACGAGTTGCGGTTTTGATTGCTTCCTTTGACGTTTTCTGGTCTTCATCCTTGACTTGTAATGTAACATTCGGATTCCCAGGTATATTATTTTATTCATTTATTTTTGGAATTTGTGGAAGGACTCGGCGAGTTGGTGCTTTGACTCGCCGAGTAGGGTCGCGAATTCTCATCCGGATTGATGACCGGACTCGGCGAGTTCATGGGTGGACTCGGCGAGTCCGTGCTGTTTAATGAAACCCTAATCTCTCGGGTTTGAGACATATTTAAAGGCCCTTAGGGCCGTCATTTGCATCTATCAGTCCCTTGAGAGAAACCCTATAGCATTTGAGCGTTTTGGGAGAGAGAGGAGGCCATTGTTGACCTTTGAAGTATTGTTTAGCAAGGAAAATGAGGTTATAGCCAAGAGGAAGCAAAGGAGGTGGACATTCTGTGGATTTGGAGCTCAGAGCATCACATTTGAGGTAATATTTTGGCTCCCTTTCTTTTGTTATGATGATCATATGGATTTAGGGTTTATTGGACCCTTTATTGGCTAGATTTGATGTCCAATTAGTCCCTATTTGTGATGAGACTTTAGATCTGGATCCATAGAGGTCCACAGTCCCTATTTGTGATGAGACTTTAGATCTGGATCCATAGATTTGATGTCCAATTAGTCCCTATTTGTGATGAGACTTTAGATCTGGATCCCTATTTGGGGAATGACTCGGTGAGTTAGAAGGGATCTAGAGGACGTGAGTACGCGATGGAACTCGCCGAGTTGCCCGAAGGCACTCGACGAGTCAGGTCAAAGGTTGACTGTTGACCAGTATTGACCAGGGTTGACTAGTGTTTACTTGATAATAGTAATCAAACAAAGTCAGGAAAGTATTAATGAGAGTTGTACTTATGATGTAGGAGGACGATAGGTCGGGAGATTGGGCACGAGTGATTATCCGACATCAGCGAGGTGAGTCTTCTCACTATGCCTTACCCGATGGGGTAATTATGTGTGACCGAAAGGTCTTATGTGTATGATGTATATGTGATGTAAGTTATATGTGATATGTTATATGATATGAGTATGATGTGGACCGGAAGGTCAAGATGATATGGACTGGAAGGTCAACAGAGTTTGGGATGGAAATCCCCTGAGATACTTGGATCGGAAGATCCTATGGCCAGCTTGATCAGTACACACTTGAAGATGTCATGTTTTTGAGATATTGGGTTATGGATTATGTTATGTATTTTGTGGAAACATTGGATGTTTGACTTTTGGAAGATTAAATAATGAAATGTTTTAATAAAAATTAAATGAAAATTTGTTTTAAATTTTACGGTGTTACAAATTGGTATCAGAGCCTTGGTTTGAGGGATTCAGATTCACCTTTAGGTGTATTTGAACTCAATCTGAGGATTTGAGAGATTTTTCATAAGATAAACAATTTTTCTGAAAAATAAAAGAATTGAAAAGATACGCAAGTGAGCAGTGTGTACGATCAGCCAGCACCCGAACGGTGATTTCCCAAAATACCCTTACATTTATGTTATGAGATATAATGAAATGTGATATGCATGCTAGAGTAGGCTATGTATTCATATTAGGGCTAGAGTGACCTGATTTGTGATGCCTTAGTCTAGGAAGATTTTTGTTGCCATGAGATGCTTTAGAGTAAGTAGGTATCAGTGAGGTGCTATGAGAATCTACCGAAGGGTAGTTTATACGTGAGAAGAGATAGAGTACTTGTGATTTGGGATCCTTGGAGGAGGACTTGGGGTGGATGTTGATGCGGTGTGGACGGTAGTATTGGGCCCATACTACTGAAGACATCGGGTCAGTGCACAGTCCAAGTAAGAATCCTTAGGGTACCAAGGAACAAGTATGGTGGGTTTATCGAGTGTATGTATACTCGAGCGAGTCCCTGATATTTCTTTATGTTGTATTTCAGAGGTAGATCATGGTTAGGACACGCCACACACCAGAGATCAGCGGGACGAGTGATGAGGAGATTCGTAGGATCATCCACGAGGAGGTGGCTGTGGCCATCAGGGCTGAGATTCCAGAGATGTTCGGGTCTATTAAGACCACCTGCTGCTCTTTCTGATGCTGCTGTTGTAGCAGCCACTGCGGCCGTTGCTGCTGCCAGGCCGCAGGGGGGTGACTCATTGTTGTATCGGGAGTTTAGCAACACGAAGCCACCAGAATTTGATGGCACTCAGGATCTGATAGCCGCGATGAGGTGGATTTCTGACATAAAGGGGTGCTTCTACACATGTTCATGTACGAAGCATATGAGAGTTCGGTTCGCGCTGAACCAGCTTCGCTTGGGGGCGAAGGACTGGTGGAAGTTCGTGACAGCGCACTATTCTTCAGCAGAGCTTGCTGCGGTGACCTGGAAGAGGTTCACCGCTATGTTTCGTGACGAGTACGTTCCCCCAGTGGAAAAGGAGCGTTTGGATCAGTAGTTCTTGACCCTCAAGCAGGGTACTGAGTCAGTTACTGTGATTACCTAGATGTTTCACGGGAGGGCGATGTTCTGCCTTGAGCACGTGTCGACCGAGCAGGCACGTATGAGTCGATATCTAAGCATTCTGAAGAGAGACATTCGTGAGTTTGTGGCAAACTCATCATACCGGACATTTTCTGAGCTTCAGGAAAATGCCCGGAAGAGGGAGATTGAGTTGGAGACGCAGGCCATGGAGGAGGCCGAGTCTCAGAGGATGTATCGGCGGTCGGTACTGTCTCAACTGGCAGTCAAGCGGGCTAAGCCCGCCGATTCGAGGTCTGGGGGTCAGAAGGGCCGCACTTGCGGAAAGTGCGGCAAGGATCATGATGGAGTTTGTAAGGCTGGTACTTGCTACAAGTGTGGCATGGAGGGGCATATCGCCAAGGATTGCCCCAAGGGATTCATGGTCTGCTTTCATTGCAACCAAACCAGGCACTGGAAGGCAGAGTGTCCACAGTTGCGAGGGATGATGCAGGAAGCATCTCAGGGATCTGCCCCTGCTGCTACGAGAGCTAGTGAGGGTCAGCCGATGAAGGCCGAGGCGCCTAAGGCGCGAGGGAGGGTGTTCCAGCTGACAGCGCAAGAGGTCTGTGCAGCACCTGGCATCGTGGCTGGTATGTATTTTATCATATATTTACTTTTATGCTGAGATATTGTGCTTATATTATGATATGCGTAGGTACTTTTCTTGTGAATTCTGTACCTACCTTGGTGTTATTTTACTCGGGTACGAGTCGGTCTTTTGTATCTTTGGCTTTTAGTCAGCACATCAGTATTAGTCAAGAGGCGTTGAGTCGACCTCTGAGAGTTTCCATAGTTGAAGAGAGAGTGGTGTATGCCACCGAGGTGATCCGAGGGTGTGTACTCGAGATTTTCGGCGGTGAGTTTCCGATTGATTTAGTTCCTATTGCGATGGGAGATGTCTGTGTCATCGTGGGCATGGACTGGTTGAGCAAGTTTGGAGCAGTTATCGACTGCGAGAGACAGTTGGTGACCATACGAGACCCT